GGCAATAGCCGATACAGCGGCTTCAACGCTTCGCTCAAATTCTTCGTCGCTCACTGTTAGGCTCGTTCGGTCCAGTGTCTCGATGAATTGAATCGCTCCCGACTGGATAGATGTCAGACTAGGGTCGTGGACAATAACAGGAGTTAGCGTACCAGTGATGATAAGTAGTACCCAGCTTCCCCTCCAAGCTTATCCTGGTTGCGGAACCGCAGGATATATTGTATGTTCGATACTAGATGTTCGGGATTTGCCTGCAGCACCACGTAGATCAAGAGCGGCACAAAAGAATCGGCAGACGTGTCAGATCTTTTAGAGTTCCTCAGTAAACCTTGGAACATTAGCATATATGTCACCTCCGCCCTTGCATTAAGTCTAGACTTACCGAAGATAACTTTGCAGCAGTTCAGTATGCAGATAACTTTATCGCGAGGAGCCCGATAGCCGTTGATTTTCAACAATTCTGTAACCGGTTAGATAAATGTCGATCGAAGGAAAGAGGGTCCATCACATACCCTGCTGAGCCAAATTCAGAAAACGACGACCGTGAGAGCTCACTGGCGGTATGTCCAGATGCTCTTCTTTAACCCAGCTGTAAATCCGCATCTTCTGAGCGAGAACTTCATCTCGCTCGATATCCTCCTGATGCTGCCCTCGTCTCCATGGGCCATGCATCCTCTCCATCTCACGCCTTTTGCTTCTACTCGCACTTCGCGGGATTGTGGGCGGACCCGGAATAGCCGGGGAAAAGGTTTGGGAATATAGTCTATTCATTACGAGCTTCTCCATCCCTTCTTTGGCGTTGTCAAATTCGCTGTCGGACACATCGCGCCATACTTCACACTGAGCCATTTTGTTTGTGATGAACACCAGGAAATCGCTGATGATTTTGACTTGTTCATGGACCATCCATTGTCTCTTGCCGAACTCATGGAGGAATGAGCGGAGGAACTTGGCGACCGGGTCCGCAGTACGGTGACGCAGTTGCTCTAAAAAGCGATGGAAATCAAAAGGTTGATCTGGCTCAGGCTCGGGTGGCGGAGGAATTGTTGATGTCGACGAACGCCGACTTAACTTGGCCTCGTCGGCAGCAGAACTCTTGGGAGCCTTCGCGGGTTGTTTCTCAGCCGAAACGGAAGATAGCCCTGTCGCAGACTTGGGCATGCGTGCATCGTCAGCCGCCGATTTACTGTGATCTAGGCTTGACTGCCGAGGGGGAAAGTGACTTTGTCCACCCAGGAACTGCTCGGCTAATTCCAAGCGGGGAGACATTAACTGTTCCTGCCCATCACCGCGCGTGGAGTCTTGGAATTGATCCATAATGCTCTGGATTTCCGACTGGGAGTCATTGTCACCACCAGCAGTATTCTTCCTCCCATCCCGGTCATTTTCAGGCACCTCCGGCAATTCCTTATCAGTCAATTCGATCGCGGGCGAGTGTGTAATCGCGGAGTGAGGGTTTGAGGACACATAAAGTTCATCTTTCGCTGGGGGTGTAGGAGGAATCTCTGCATTTGGCGACGTGGCAGGCTCCGGTCTTGCCGTCGTGGTGATAGAAAGCCCCTTCATCCGCTCCGGAAGCGATTCCCGGGGAGGCAACACAGGATTCGAGGGATCTGTGGCGGACGGTGTCGGCATCGTGCTTGGGGACTCCATGATGGTGGCCTGCGCTTCGCCCTGAGCGCTTTCCTCCATGTCGCCTTGTTGCGCTTTTTGGCTGGTCATCGGCACTCCTGAGGGGTCATCCTGTTGCTCCGCGGCAGGCTCGAGGTTAGTCGAGCTCACTTGTTCAGTCGAACTAGAATCGTTGTGAACGGCCAGCTGGGCCTCCCCATGACCACTAGGAGCCGGGGATTCCGAGGGTTCTATCGCAGACATAAGCAACCTGCATGCACGCCAAAGTCAAACTAGAAATCAAAAGAGCCTCGTTAGGTAGAAACATGGATCATCATGAGGGGAATATGCGGAGACGTGGTTCCCGGGGCTGCCACGTAATAGACCACGAATGTCGGGTCAGCTAATATTGGCAACAGACTTTGAGGCCCCAGAGTCAATCAAAATAGGTGTCAGGGGAGAAATTGCGGAAATATAGCAAAAAGGGACCCCAGATAGGGGAGTAAGCTCCATCAGCGCCGAGGATGACAGCCCGCAATCAGCGGCGGGGGATCATCGTTCCCCCGACTTCCGGCTCTCTTCTTGTGTTTCTCTTTCCTCTTCCTTTCTCTTTCACCTCAACTATACCCCCGCCAGCGTCTCGCTTGCGGTTTGCTTGCTACCATGTGTGGGATTTTCTTCTCTCTTAGCGCATCAGGAGCTGTGCTTCCTAATGAGGAGACTTGCTGCTTGTTGCGGAAAAGAGGACCTGATAATTACCATGTTCATAGCGTTGAACAAAAGATAACCAATACACGGTCAAGCAATGAAGAGCCCATTGCTGTTCAGCTTACCTTTGTTTCCACAGTCTTGTCGATGAGAGGTGGCTGTCTTGTGCCCCAGCCATTAGTGGATCCTACTACGCAGTCCGTGTTATGCTACAATGGAGACGCCTGGAAGATATCAGGTGAACCTATCCAGGGCAACGATGCGGAGCTGATCTTTAGGTTGTTACTGCAGGCTGTAAACCACCAATCGAAGGCCACTTCGTCAGCAGATTTGAGTACGAGTGCTGTCCAAGGTGTCCTGGATGTTATCAGTAGCATCTCGGGCCCCTTTGCTTTTGTGTTCTATGATGCGATCAACTCAAAACTATTCTTCACCAGAGACTCACTTGGAAGACGCTCTCTACTCCAAGGTGTTGATGAGTCGGGGGTCTTCAAGCTGTGCAGTCTCTGCGATGGCACATCTTCGACCCACTTTAGTGAGGTCGAGACAGACGGAGTGTATGTGGTTGACTTAGAACATGCTATATTCCAGGATAACTCGATCGCAACGAAGAGTGCCGGTACGCCTTCGTTTGATGCTAGTTGCATACAGACTCTGTACTGGGAGCATAATGCATCCGATCTCCCTCTTCGTCCTGTACGCACCTCTTCCTCGTCTGATCTTACCTAGCTAACAATTGTGTAGAGAAATCCCGTCCCTCCAATGAATAATTCTATACCCGAAGGAGAAGCTCCTTCACTAACCGTTGAAACTACTGCTGTCAAGGAACTCGAGCAAAAATTACGTCAGTCCTTAGCATTGCGAATTCAGAATGTACGAGAACCTCCGACTGCTTCATCAGGGAGCAATGTGAAAGTCGCCGTACTGTTTTCTGGTGGCCTCGACTGCACATTACTCGCTAGGCTTTCCCACGAGATCCTACCAAAGGAGGAAGTCATTGATTTGCTCAACGTGGCATTCGAAAATCCGCGCGTTGCGGCCGCCGCAAAGGGCAAGGGAGAGGCCACTGGCTCCGTGTACGAAAACTGCCCTGACCGTATTACCGGCCGAGCAGCATTCGCAGAGTTGCAAAGAGTGTGCCCCGATCGCAACTGGCGGTTTGTGGCGGTAGATGTACCGTACCAGGAAACCCTTGCGCACCGCGAGACTGTCAAGCGTCTGATGAGACCCCACAATACGGAAATGGATCTATCCATAGCCTGCGCATTATATTTTGCTTCGCGTGGTCAAGGGCTCGCATTCGACAGTCGACAGATCGATGCTCAGCCCATGCAATATGCCACTTCGGCACGAGTGCTGCTGTCTGGCCTTGGCGCGGATGAGCTATTCGCAGGATACTCGAGACATGGAGCAGCATTCTCTCGGGATGGGTTCGCGGGCCTCATCGACGAGATCAACCTCGACGTCAGCCGCCTTGGAAAGCGAAACCTGGGCCGTGACAATCGAGTCATTGCACACTGGGGTCGCGAAGCGCGGTTTCCGTTCCTAGACGAAGAGTTTGTCTCCTGGGTGGTGCAGCTCCCAGTCTGGGAGAAATGCGGCTTCGGCACCCCTTCTCCACCAGCGGATTCACCAGAGGCAGGGCTTGATTCGGAGAAAAAGGCCCTCCGTCTGGTCGCACTGAGACTCGGCATGACAAACGTTGCCCGCGAGAAGAAGCGAGCAATTCAATTTGGGTCCAGGACAGCCAAAATGGAGAAGAGCAAAGTAAAGGGGACTGATGCTCTTACCTGAATAGATTTCCTTTTTTTTTTTCTTTTTCTCCACCAATACCCTCCCCTTCAAATACCTCCAACACGTCTTTGACGTACCATAACATGCCTCCACCCCCCAATCACATCAACACAGACCAGCAATGATGACAACTCTGGATCAGATACTTCTGAGACCGCCTCTTCGATCTATGCTCCCCATCCAGCACTCTCTCGTTTCGATCCTCAAGCAGACACGGCTCCAGTGACCCCCACAACACACTCATCGCCACACCTGTTTTATCACCCGTGGGAATGCAACCGCCTGCCCATCATCTATGGGACTCCCTGCACCGTGAAACGGAGCGGGTTCTCAAGCACTGATGGAACCAGGACTGGTACTTCCCACACGGTTAGATGGCGCTTTCTGCGAAAGCATTTTCATGAGTGTGTTGGTATACTGGATGTCGGTTCTGTTTGTTGGTTGGGCGCGAGGGTATGGATGGATCGGGCAAGCAAGAGGTAGTTTGTCTATGAAGTAGATAAAAAGGCAAGTCTGAGCTGAGTCCATTGCACACACTTATATGCACGTGCACATACATGAAACAGAAATGTAGATGAGTTACGAGTGATGTTAGCTATAACAGTGGTGTTTTTATTTGTACGATAGTGAAGACTATTTAGTCTTGGTACATATACTTGAATGAGGAAGCTCTAAAGGGATTCTACGAATTTATTGGCCAAGAGCTTTAGCGGAGGAAACACGGCCACAAAGAAGTCATAATGCGCATATAAGATACTTGAATTGGAGAATACCATAGTTCACAGTCTGGTACATAAGCGCAACGATAATAACATAAAAGGCACTCGAATCAGTCAAGTACACGAGATGAAATAAAGAGATTAGTGGCCACGAGTCAATCCCGATAGGTGGGAGACATCAGAACCGGCCATAGAAACAGAAAAGGCAGAAGAACCATAAAACAGACCCGCAGTACATGACTGGGGATGAGTAAATCACAGCAGCAGATGCAGAGATGCAGATCTACCGAAAAGTACACTGTGTAAGCTCCATAGTAAATGGCGCAAGAACAAAAGGAAACTTTTCATCTGTCGGAAGCATCACTCAGAGACTGAATGATGCTTCCGACAGGTGGTGACAGGAGGCTCGACGCCCCCGCCCACAGAGCCCACTAGGGATAAGAATAGCACAATGAGCACAATACAGATACCAAAACCAAAACCCCATGCCATAACCCAAAGAATGAAAACCCAAGAAACTTTTTAGATCAGTTGGTGCCAGTCTTGGCCATGCTTCGCCAGTACTCCTCGCGTTGCTTGGACTCTTCAAGCATCCGCTCGAGCTCCTCAATACGGCGCTCCATCTCGCCTTGACGCTCGAGCTTGCGAGCACGAGATTTGCGAGCAGCCTCGGTATTGCGGGCCCTCTTCATGGCGGCGGGGTCGGCAGAGTCAAACTTGATGGGAGGCAACGGCTTCCGTTGGCGCGCATTGACGCCGGCCACTGTGGAGTGCTTGGTACCCTGACGGGATGGGGCAGGGGAGGCAGACGGCGCGGGCGAGGCGCTGTCACGGATCACTGGAGTCGGAGGGGGTCCGGTCGCCTTGGGCTGTTGAAGCGAAGCAGCAAGCTCAAGGGCAGCCGAATCCAGGTCCAGAGAAAACCCATCCTGAGGGAACAGAGACTCCCACTCCTCAGGCACGGCGTTCAGATCCATCTCAGTGTTGATCATGGGAGATGTGTTCTGACTGAAGAAGCCAGGCGTATCCAGCGGGGGAGTGCTGAGATCAGTGAAAGTCGTCGATGGGGGAGCCGAAGCGTCGAAGAACAGATCCTTCGGCGAGACGGTGCCCGGAGGGGCAACCTCTCCCATCGGGCTGAAGAACGAAGTGTTGATCTGGGGCGAAAGCATGTTGGACTCTGGGGAGCTGAGATCGTCCCCAAAGCGGTTGGACTGAAGATCAAAAAGCTCAGGGAAATCTAGAACTGTCTTAGCACCGTATACATAAGCGTGCACTGCCCAAGTGACGGGCTTACCTTGAGCGATGTTGGGGGTAGACATGATGCGGCGATGGTGTAGATATGAAGCGTATTTTCTCTTTAGGTGTTGGTTGTGCTGATTCGGAAAGGCGGAATAGTTGACCGTCTTGTCGTTGAACAGAGGGACGGGTGGGCGGTTAGAGTAGGCAGTGTTGTTCACTGCAGGAGTAGAATTCGAAGCGGCAGGTGTTGCGAACCGACGCGCGAAATGCTTTCGCAGAGCGGGGTGAGACCAAGAAGACGGAGACGAGGAATATCCGGAAGATTGAGCGGCTAATCTGGCCGAAAGAGGAACCTGCGCAGGCGAGCCTGGGAGCTGCTGATGCAAAACTGAAGAGTGTCGTCTAACAGGATACCCTGGTTGGACCAGAGAAGGTTGATATGCGGATAATCTAGGGGTAGAATTGATCGGTGCTTGAGCACGCGAGTCCCTGGGTTGCGGCGGGGGACACGGAGCGGGAAAGAGCACAAAGTCCTGCGGAAGGGGACTGGGATTGTTGTTGTTGTCGCTGAGAATCGAATTCACTGGAGCCGATGGCTGCTGAGGCGGGGGCGTGGGAAGCCATGATTGCTGTTGGGTATCCGTGGTGAACGACGAGATGTCGAACGGGAAAGCGTTGTTCGGAGAACTTGAGCTACGCAAAGCGATGCTAAAGTTCAGAGGTCCTGGGACAGGAGACTCTGAGGGGGTGGAAGAGGAGAGATTAGAAAAAGACGAGGTCCGAAGAGGATCTATGGTGTCTGTCTCGTACGAGAAAGACGTAGCTGGTGCGGGGGAGGCGTTTAGCAGGCCATTTTGAAAGCACGGAGTATCAGAAGCGGTATAAGTATGATGCTGTATGGTGAAGAGTTGTGATCAAAATGAATAGAGAGATGTGTGGAGTGGAAGAAAAGATGAAGTGGGAGAGAAAGAAAAAGGAGGGAGAAAAGAAGCGCCAGGCAGCGACGGGAAGCCAGGCACTTCTTAACTGTTTGTGTGTGCGGTCTTGCCCGGATCTCTCCGCCAATCACCATTGACCGGACCCCCGCCTGGTGCCCTAGCCTGATTGGGGATAGTCAATCTTACGCGGTCAGCAGGTGTGAGTCATAGGGACAGTAAAGCCCACGATTGGCTGCCAGATCCAATAAGTGGGGTTTGCAGGAGCCCCAGGCATTCCCGTGCCTGGAGCAGCAAGTCTCAATTATCCTGTATTCTACTGTGTAGTACCAGGCAGGTACGTAGGCTTTCCTCCATTCAGCCCGCAACGGAAATGTCACTTGCAGGTCACTGGCCCAGCAGCAGCAGGCACCCCTCAACCTTGGATTCCTGGCCCTGCTTCGACTCCTTCATTGAACTCCACCACCACTAGACTAATATGGAGGGAAGAGACTAAGAAAAAAAATAAATTTGGAAGAAAAAGAGGCCGCGCGACTTACTGTGGGTGATGAAACCGGTTCGCACCCGTGCCGCCGACCGGACCCATTGGCCAACCAGCAGGCACCATGCATTTCTGGGCCTTCATCACAGCCCGTCGGGGTCTGCATTTGGTGCAGCGCCCGGGGGTGTCATTGGGGCTGAGCCTGAGCCTCAATGTCTCAACTGTCTGCGAATGAGACCTGTCCTTGTGTCCATCACTCTCTTATCCCGTGCGACTGTCACTCCCTTTGTGCTCTGTAGGATCTATCTATCTAAGCCTCAACTCCTGGCTACCGTGTCCTTGTCCCGGTTCACTGGGGGGCCGCAGGAATACGATGCCGCACCAAGGGATACTAGACAAAAAGACAGAGAGCCGGTTTGCAACCAGGGTTTTTCACCCGGTCGGAGGATCCTTTCCCTAATTCCCTCCCCGCCCTGCAGCCCCCTCCTCGCCAAAGTCGCTCGAAGGGCGTGAAATTCCACTTGGGTCAAACTCTATCAAGACACCGAGACGTTCCGGCCTTCATCTGACCACAAATGAGATTTTAAATTAAAACGACCCTTGGCGAAATATTGCCCTAGGAAGGATTCACACAAATACAGGGGAATTAAATTGAATCCGGTCCCGTCAGATTTTAAGGAGATTATTCTCGCTGCAACAGGGATGGTATATTCGTCGTCGGGGTTGTATTATCTCCGGGGAGGTGCGTCGTATATTCCGGGCGGAGCATAAAAGATAACTAGACTAGACCAAGACTACTATTGGAATTCCTCATTCTAATTAGTAATGCACGGGACCAACCGGCCCATGTGAAACCTAAAAGCCAATTACCTGCAAAGCGGAAAAAAAAATCACTTGTGTCCATTTCCATTTTCCATCCGAAGTTGGCATTTCCAAGATCGGGGTCTAGAAGGAGTAATGGAGGGAGAATACTAGGCAACAATTCCGACTTCACAACCTGCCTACCATCTCCTGCCAAGCCAACCCTCAGTTGACTAGGAGACGGACAATTCAACACATCTCGAGATCTCACATGTCGTACGTATGTACATGCCCTAGGGCGTCGTAGATACCGTTGCAACCTGCTCCGAGTGGGGATGCCAATCAGCGTCTGCATACATCAGCCGCGGCGCGCGCGCATCTCCGCCGTATGCAGGCCGGTTATACCATGCCTGTCCTGTCCCCAGGCAGCCGCCGGCGATGACGTCTTGTCTAAGAAGTCGATGATGCCTGGTTAGCACTACTACACAGTAGACTAACTTGTCTACGACTCGGGAAGAGTAAAACCAAGCTTTCATTTTCGTGTTCATCTTGAAACTTACGGGATTGATTCGTGCTGCATGGTACACCTAGCCTGAGTACAACTAGTCCTTTCCATTGAAGCTGGTTAGGCAGACCCTACGAATGCGAGACAATTGCACGAATAACAATAGTAGTACTAGCCGTGATGTGTGATCCCTTTTGCATATGCTCCCTCTCCCTCTCCCTTTCCCCCTCCTTGAACCCTTTCTTCCCCTCCTGTCGAATTGGCGACGGTGATGGTTCCGGCGCTAGGCGAATTATCCGTGCGCTCCGTGCAGGCGCCAGGCTGCCAGGGCTGCGTGGGTTGTCAAGTGCCCATGTTGTCGATTATCCCTGTTTAATTTTTTGGATTCGGTCTAAAGGGGAATGCAGTTTCTCATTCAATGCTTTGCTCTGTATGCTGTGTATGGTAGGTGTGCATATGTAGTAAGAGTTTCGGATGTGTCGTAGCCTACAGTACCTCCGGCCTCTCTTCAACCCAAGTATATATACCGGGGAAACATATTGCAGAACAGCACAACACCATTGGAACCAATCACCAACATTACCAAGCGAATCAAGCAATATAAGCTCTGGCAACCTGTCAGCAGTATCTAGGCACTTGAACTTGCCTCGGCCATATTCATCCACTCCTATAAAGCAGAGGACCACCACCTCACCTGTCTACTACGTACTACCTATTTAAACCCCACATCCAAAACACAATCACCGAATCCACTCAAAGCACAGATACAATCGCAGCCTCACTACCCTCGACGCCTGCAGTACACCTAGTTTACAGAGTACATACCAATCTAGCCCCTACTACCCCCGCTACTATCACAGCAAGTAACCCTTTCCCCGGGGGGGATCTAGTACACAACCAGGCACCCACATACGCCATGCCTCAAAAGCCACAACCGAACTACTACAACACTATGTCCCAGTCAAGATACCCTAAATCCTCTCACTCAGAAACCCCGATGCCTAAACATTTATTTAACTCCAGGCTTCCAAGTCAACTAACCACCTCGCCAAGATAAAGGTCCCCCCCCCAAAGACCCCGAACTGAAATCATACCTACTAGGCAGACTACCTACATTCAAGAAGGGACATACACACGACCCTGATGCGCGACGGAGCACAGTCTAGTCCAGACCAGCCCAGAATTCTATACTCCACTCCGCCCCCAGGCATCAGCGAAGTACATATATTTCCGGAGTTATCTAGACGGGGTATGTCCATTGCGTAGACTGCTAGCACAGTAGGATGTGCCGAATGTTAGATTAGATATGTAAAGAGACTAGGCAACAATCAACCAACACAAAAATATCCAGAATACAGAAGTGAAAGTACCGGTGGATTGTATTATAGTAGTATTAGTAGTAGTAGTAGTAGTAGTAGTAGTAGTAGTAGTAGTAGTAGTAGTAGTAGTAGTAGTAGTAGTAGTAGTCTACTACCAACCACACGAAGGCTCAAATTATTGTATTATCAGGCCGAGAAGCTTGTTTGAGTGGACAGTATCGTGATGATCCAGTGGATACATATCTGCGATGCGAGGCTGGTATTACCGAGTTACATCCAGAGTAAATGCAGATGATGAGGTAAATCTGTTGATTCCAAGGCTTGGTGCATGTACGACTAGTATTTGAATAGTAGGTTATGTTCAACAGCAAATAACAGCTACTTGAGGTTAAAAATACAAAAAAGACCTCTTATGTATAACACATAAAAACATTGTGCAATGGATGAAGGAGGAATGAAAACAAAAAGAGAATTTGAGCTCCGATAGGGGGAATCGAACCCCCGGCTGCCGTGTGAGAGACGGCGATGTTAGCCACTACACCATATCGGATACTTGTTGAATGATAGGTCAGTTTATGCTCTTATCAGCGGCTAGATACTGCAGCCGCCAGCTCAACGTCCATGCTCACCTTCTATGATAAGCTTACATTCAAGAGTCCCCACCCCGTACACCAAGTGGACCGCCAGCACGTTACACCTGTGGCCCTAAACAAAGTACGACAATCACCCAAGTCTAACACCTCGGATACACTACTACTAGGCATTGAAATAGAGTATAGTGGATATGGTACTAACAATACGTGGATTCTATTAAGTATTACCTCATGATGCTGTGCCATGTATACATGGCGCTATCAGCACGCTGTCACCATGTAGCCATGGTAGTCGACGGTTCGGGCCAATCTGAGTGGAGGGAAGTACCCGTCCAGCTGACAAAAAGCACCCTTCCTCCCAGTAGGGTATCAAGACAAAAGCATCAAACAGCAACATGAGAACATCAAAGAGCAAGCAATAAACAGCAACAAGTGGTATCAATCTAGTTTGGACGGCGCACAACATGAACACACAAGGCCAGTTGGGTATCCTTGCGGAACGCATATCATAAAGGAATGAAACGCAGCACCGGACACGCAATAGACATCCGGGCTCGGAAATGACCGCCAAAGCAGCAGAGGGTATCATTGACACTCATCTTGGCAGACCTCGCCTTGCACAGGGAGGCATACCAAAATGGTGGCAGTGGGAACATCAATTAGACACAAACAGTAACAATCATTGGATGTATTTTTTTCTTTTCCGGGCTTTTCATTTTCCAGAACGACTGATCATCGAAGAGTTGAAGGATTAGGATACGAATACCGCTGGTCCCACCATTTCTCATACTCGATTTCCTTGCGGGAAGCACTTCATGCAGCAGCCTGAACAGGAGTAGAGGTGGCGACGTCGACGGGCTTGGACTCCTCAGCGGGAGCAGCCTCAGCGGGCTTAGCGCTCTCCTCGGCAGGAGACTCCTCGACGGTAGCCTCCTTGGGAGCAGCCTCAGCCTCGGTGGCCTCCTTGGTCTCCTTGGGCTCGGACTTCACGGCCTTGCTGGGCTTGCGGAAGATGCCACCAAGCTTGTTGGCCTTGGGCTTGGGCTCGCCATCGGCACCCTCGTTGTCGGAGTCACCCTTCTTCTTGCCGAAGTTGCCGAAGAAAGAGGTGCGACGCTTGTCCTTGGGGGTCTCAGCGGCGGGAGAAGCGGGAGCGGCGTCCTTGGCAGCCTCAGCCTCAGCGGGAGCAGTCACGCTCTCGGGCTCGATGGGCTTCACAGCGGCCTCCTCAACGGGGTTGTCCAGCTGAGGAGCAGTGCTAGCAACAGCGGTCTCGGCAGGAGCAGTGGCCTCCTTCTCCGACTTCTCGTGGGAGGGGCTGGTGACCTTCTGGAAGAAGTTGCCGAAAAGAGAAGCACGCTTGGACTTGGGGGCAGGGGTTTCCGCCTTCTTCTCTTCCTTCTCCTCCTTCTTCTCCTCCTTTTCTTCCTTCTTGTCACTGGCTTCAGCAGGAGCAGCTATGTTGGCGTTAGTATTTTGTGTACTTAAGGCATCATTATGCGGTAACATACCCTCAGTGGTCTCAGCGGCAACCGAAGCCTCAGCAGCAGGAGCAGGGGCCTCAGTAGCAGCCTCAGCAGGCTTAGCCTCCTCGGCCTTGTCCTCCTTGTCCTCAGCAGGGGCAGCCTCCTCCTTGGCCTCCTCCTTCTTTCCAAGAAGAGTTCCGAAGATGCTGGCCCTCTTGCGAGACTGAGAGCGGCTCTTGGAGGCAGCCTTCTCCTCCTTCTTGTCCTCGGCGGGGGCAGCCTCCTCCTTAGGCTCAGCCTTCTTAGCGGGCTCGGCAACAGCAGGCTTGCCTATTGGGGGTTAGCTGCCTAACTTCATACGCTGTGCAACTACGAATGTGACTTACTCAGCTTCTCGAGCTCGGCCTTGTAACCCTCGCTGGAGGTCACAGCCTCTTTCTCAGCCTTGGCCTCGAGGGCGGCAACCCAGCTGTCACGCTCGGAGGTGCTGGAGGCCTGGAAGGTGTGCTTCTGGCCGTTGACCTTGAAGTGCAGCTCGGTGGAGCCTTCCTTGGCAATGTCGGAAACATCAGCCTGGCAAGCGAGTTAGCAACTGGCGCAAAGTTTATCCTGTTGTCTATCATGTTTACTGACCAGGTTGAAGATGCCGGCGGGAGAGGCCTTGTCCTCAGCGCGCTTGGTGAAGAACAGAAGACCCTTGCCGGTCTGGCTGGCCCAGGCGGCGATGGGGTTGGCGACGGCGGCCTTCTCGTTCTGGTGGAAGGCAGACAGCTGCTTAGACTCAACAGCGTCGTCGCTGAAGTAGAAGAAACGCTTGGCGAAACGAAGGCCCCTGTTTTGTGTCACACTCCATTAGTCACTGCATATCGTAAACCTGTCGCAACAAAGTGGCGCCTTACTTGACGAGACCGGGGGCCTTGTAACCCAGGACACCCTCAGAAGCGGGGGTCACCTCCTCCTGCTTGGGCTCCTCCTTGGGCTGTTCGGCGGGAGTCTCCTCGGTCTTGGACTCCTCCGCGGCGGCGGGGGCAGCAGCCTCAGTGGTCTCAGCGGGAGTCTCCTTGGGCTCCTCAGCGGCGGGGGTCTCGGTGGCCGGGGCCTCGGTGGCAGCAGGCGCTTCAGCAGCAGGAGCAACGGCGGGGACAGCCGCAGGAGTCTCCTCGACGGGCTTCTGAACGTCGGACATGGTGTCGGGTGGTGATTAGACGAGTAATTATAATCAGTAGGGATGGGATTAAATAAGAGCTAGGGAAGCTGGCGAAGCTTCGAAATTAAAGGCGCGCGTCGAGCAGGGTATCTCTTTAAGGGGTATCTCAACAGAAGGAAACAAAAGCTCTCTTTGCGCAAAGCTACAAGAGCTCGGGTATCACAATGAAGGGGAAAAGGTGGGTGGGAAAAGAAATGAACCCGGGACGGACAGTCACGATTAGAATGAATATGGAGAGGGAAAAGAAGAGGAGAAGAGGAGAAGAAGAGAAAGAAAGAAGCAGAAGAAGAAGAGGAAGGAAGCGACAAGAAAAAGAGGGGAGGGAGAGCAGGAGCAGGGGCCGAAAGGAGGGCGAGGGCGAGGGCGAAAATGAAAGGGTGTGGGCGACGAGGCCTGGTCATTGGCGCATCGTCCCAAACAGGCAGGGAGCTGCAGGGCGGCACTAGAGCCTAGACTGAAAGAGGGTGGGCCTGATACTGGGATGGCCGCTCCAGGGCTAAACTATCATGGGTATAGTGTCTATTCACTTGGGTGTGTGGTCACTGTGGTGTGTGGTGTGTGAGTCTTTGGCTATTTTTTTTTTCTTCCGTTTTTTTCTTTTATTTTTATTCTATTCTATTTGATTTTGATTTTTTCCTTGCCCTTTTACCTAACAATCAGGGGTTGACCCCCCCCGATTACTTACTTCGATTGACCCATCATCATCAGACCATCTTTCCAAGGAAAATATAAAAATAAAATTAAATTAAAAAATTTACAACCCACACACAGACACGTTACTATCATCCCCCTTCACTACTGTATATGGGGACCGTCAATCCAAATCTTTCACTGGGTATCTACACCTTATGTGCTTGAATTATATATGTAAGTAGTCTGCAGATCGACGCTCGTACCTTACTGGAAGTTCTACTCCGGAGTGGTCAACTACATGGCAAGGTAGCCCGGAGTAACTCCGTCAGAATGAGAACCCCGTTCGAGAGTGAAAAGGTGTCCATCGATGGAGAAAAGGGCCGGTTATTGGGTCCAAACTATAAATCAGGCCGTCGGGAGGTAATTCACTGGACGAAAAATTTTCTGGACGATGGCTCTTGCGCCGGTGCGAGAGCTTTCCTACTACTCGCATCGGCCCAATAATAGGTAATAAATCCTTAACCCTTGGCCTCCCCGTCCCCCTCCCCCTATGAGGTCAAAGGGCGGTTGAAACCATGGTGAATCGTTCCCCAAGACAGACAACTCCTGCGAGAAGCTAGAACTACCTTTTTTGATGACAGGTCGCCAGCTCCCCTCCATTCTTAGCTGGCTACCCGTCGTGCAGATTAACTGCTCGCGAGCAGTTGGCCTTAACCCGCTGCTGACATGATTACCTTATCATCGGGGAACTCCCATCCAGACAGCTGAAACGAAACTTATCTGAAAGATCAGATGGATAGACAAAAAGAAAAATCAAGCGTAGGAATATTTTCTTTTTATTTTTATCAAATTTATTATCATGTTTTGGACTCGAAAGAACTTCATTAGACCACTTCTGAAGAATCTATGTTTACCCGTATCACCTGCTCACCGTGTTTGTGGGACCCAAGCCACCCATTCGGTCCTGATCCATGGTCTCCTATTCAGATCATCCTGGTGGGTTTAGCTTGTAGCTGGGCCGTTACACAACCATGGTTGAGTCAGTTGGCTGTTCCAATATTCAGACAAGTGGCATCTTCTCTGCTCTCCTTATTCCTCTCCTTTTAACCTTTCATACCCTGGTGTAGATTATATCTAGGTAGGGAAGTAAAACAAGTGGCCTATGGGTGGTGTATCAAATTCAACGCAAAGATTGTATGTTTCACATATACAAGCCTGGAAGCAGGACATTCCCTGCCCAACTTGATCCACCAAGATCTCTCTCAAGGCTTCTCCGTAGTCTTCGATTAGTTCCGACTATGGCATGTTAGTGAGCTAGTCAGGTGTTAAGCGCCGGGCTACTGCTAGGATTCCGTGTTTTAGTCTAGTTGAGGTATTCTGCCCGTAGGTTGCAATTTATTAGACGCTCGGTTACCGACCAGTCGTCGTTTTGGTTAACGATGTGCAGGATCTGTTCTTGGAGGGAAAATCGATAATTATTATTATCGTCGTCATCAATAACATCGTCTTCTTCTTCTTCATCCTCCTGCTCCGATGGCGGCGAACCTGTTTTTTCGTCAGGTATGGAGGAGAAGGAGGGGGAAATACCAATCCCAGCGGCAATCATGGCCATCCCCATCCATGCGACAGGCAAACCCCCTCGTGACAGCCCGAACATTGTTGTGAATTCGGGGGCCAACCAGGGGCCAAGGACACCCTCCATTTCAGTCTACTGCCTTGCCTTATCCGTGAGGATTCTGCGGCCAGTAAGTAGTAGTAGATGGAACTCGCGTGACATTACCCTGATCAATGGCGTCTTCAAGTTCGGCAACCTTTGATAGGATCTCCCTCAAGTCTCTGTGGCTTTGCGATCCTATCGTCGCATTCTATCTCACAGTCTCACAAGGACCTTTGAACTTTTTGAGTTTCTTTTCCTGTTTCCAAGGAAAAATTTTATAAAAGTATTGACTAGCGCGAAAAAGAAAAGAAAAAAAAAAAAAAAAAAAAAAAAAAAAAAAAAAAAAAAAAAAAAAGAAAAAAGATCGAAAATTCCACCCCTGCCCAACAAGGTCCATCAGTTCACTGTCGCTCGTACTTTCGCACTTGAACTTACGTTAGTAAGGGTAGGGTGACTGGATAGCGCCATGGCGGGCGGACGAGCGACCCACATGTACCAACGCTATCATCATCCCCTGTCTCAAGTCACTTCAACTCTCAACTCCCTAGAAGGTCTGACCAGAAGGAACAAACAAGAACCACCTCCTACATAACTGCTACTAGGAGTCAAGCCAGCCCTAGAATAAAACGCCCTAGTTCCACCTCAAGAATCAAGCACTCTCCTTGACCAAGCTTCTTCTCCTTACGATGAAACTATTTTGATCTGGGCGCAAACCAGTCTATGCGGCACCACCTATCCATAACCACACCAAACTACGTACTATCCCTAAACCACAGCACACACGCACAGCTAACCACGGAACCAACATGTTACAGACTAACTTTACGTTACCGAATGAGCATCATATGTCAAAACACCGTCACCATCAGCAGCAGAAGGAAAAGAAGCAGAACAAAAGATCGTCACGCATGCTTTCCCTAGACAACTCCCGCCATCAAATCATGATTGTCACTCGCCTATCATATCATACCCGAAATAGGAAATTCATTCAACATTAGAGCCGCCCGTGACTCGGGGCCCCCCGCCCCATACTTATTAGTACTTACCTAGTAGTTACTTATTCCATCATAGCACTACCAACCAACTAACCATGTACCTACAGTAGTTACTGTATTTAGCTGCTTCACAATTTCCACCAGCCAACTCAGTAAGTACGTATTAATCTCCTCTGCACGTACAGCAACTCCAATCAACCCAAGGCAGAGCTGCAGGGTACTTAATTCAAACCCGACCCGACCGAACAACCGACCAACCAACAAGCTGCTTTGCACTTTGCAGAGTAGATACTTACAGTAGGTATCTGCGGCGGCAAGTGTAAAGAAGAAGTGGGTTTAGCTAAGATCCACTAGCCAAGTAAAAAGTAGTAGCACCACCACCACCCCCTTTTTCGCCGTTGCGACAATCAACCTGAACGGCACCAACGACTTGCTTATCCCGGACCGCTGTGAACCAATCAGACCACCGTCGATCTGATGATCAGGCTTGGCCCGTGTTGCAATGATGGCCGATTCTGTCCTCTTTGCTTTTTTTCTTCTCTTCCCCTCTCTCTCTCCCCGTCGACAGTCAGGGTTAGTAGTAGTAGTCTTGACTCTTGAGTGTGGTGGAGGAAGATTCCACCGGTATGAATGATGGAAAAAGAGGATATCGCAATGCTGCGCGCATCTGCTGCTGATATCCGAAGCTTGTCACCTACTATACTATAATACCTACTACACTGTAATCTTAAATGTTATATCAAGATCATCACTGTAATAATCCCCATCTCCATAAAAAAAAACCGGAATCTTACATAAGTCCAACCCAACTTCCGCCCCCCAGATGGATGGATATCCGCAGAATAAATATCATGTTATTGATTGCGCCATCTTGCATCTCGCTACTATTAGTAGTAGTAGTAGACTCATGGAGTAGATTATCACGCCCCATTACCCGAATCATTCCAAAAAAAAATACCTAAACAATCACAAAAATAGATAACTAGCTAACTATCTACTCTCTCTGACAAATGAACTAACCGCGGTGCTTAACTACTTACCGCATCTATCTACTACATACATACATTTATATGTACACACATCTTCCGATATACTCCGCATATTCCTTAATTGAAGATAGTAATGACGAATATTGCGCCACGTCCACGCGACATGACATGGATTTGTCATACACACATACTTACCCCCCCAACTTATTTTACTGTGCTTTTATTGTTGCATCAGAATGAACTTCCTTCATATACAGTAGATCTTAGTATTTATTTATTAATTAGTAGATGCAGAATATAGACTCACTCACCTATCCGATCAATTAATTACGTACTGATCATGGTTGCCAATAATTGTTGGTTCTACTTAGAAGTTGAGTACGGATATCCAGCCCGAGCAAGCCACATGACTCACAGACTATATTATTATAAACTGTACCTGCTAACTAGCAGTTCATTAAGGTAGATAGATAAGCAGCGAAATGTATAACGTGACCTCACCCCCTCACTTCAGCCCCACCTATTCCAATCGCCGGGTGATTTCCGTGGCTGGAAGTTATACTATTTAGTAGTAAGAGAGATGTCGGAAGTCGCTGCCGATGATCATTCGACAGTAACAAGTATCTGCCAAGCTACGAGTGCAGTGGTTGGTTTGTGATGAGGGTTTATTTTCAGCTGTGGGTGTGAGTGAGTGGAGGGGCTGGAAAGGCAGGGTCGCCTGACTGACGGACTGATCGACTCGTGCTTGTCACGCCGTTGTTCGATCGATCATTGTATGCAAATACAACTACTTTTTC